ATCAATTATCAATTGATTGAAAAAATATCCAAATTAACTTGAAATAGAAAACATTTTTAATCAACAAAGGAATATAAAAAACAATAGATAAAACAGAGAATATTTATTTATTTACAAAGGAATTTCAATTTATAAATGCTGCACATATACATTTACAGATTTACTGCTAAAAATAGACATATGAGGGAAATTATTTTTACCAATTGAATTTATCCTAAGTCTAAATACAATAAACCCCTTAAGAATACTATCTTTAATAATGTGACAATTAATTATGTGTTCTTCATCAACAGAACCCATTTTGGTAAGAAAGGAAGAAGATGGTCCGGGGTTGCGGTCATAAATAGGCTAAATAGTGGTAAAACTATTTTATTGAAAGCCGACGTTTCGACCCGACTTTGCAGGTCTTCTTCAGGGCTACGGTTACTGACTAGTCCAACTAAAGTTCTATAGTACTCAGTTCCTGTAGTTGGACTAGTCAGTAACCGTAGCCCTGAAGAAGACCTGCAAAGTCGGGTCGAAACGTCGGCTTTCAATAAAATAGTTTTACCACTATTTAGCCTATTTATGACAACAACCCCGGACCATATTCCTTCTTCATAATGCAACGGTCAACTATTAAATATTCATTTTGGTAATTATTTACAAGTGGTTATTTACAAGATGGCCGGAGGAGTACCACTTGTAAATAATTACCCTCATTTTTCTTTATGTAAAATCCTCTTAAATCACCTCTTGCTGAGTTGATTTGGGCTCATATAGGTTTCCAAAATGACTTAATCCTTTAATTTGTTACTTTCTTTTATTGATTTTCCTTTGTAATTCAATAGTTATGAAGGAAAAAGATTAAAATGAAGTTTGAAACTTGTTTATAGAAGATATTTCTATAGGTTGAGACTATTAGCTAATACAATTTTTATTTTGAAGTCAGTGATTTCAGGTATAATATTGAAATTTGGTTTTCCTTATTGCTTATTGTTACTTTCAATATTAAAAATATGAGTGTAGTTGATGATCCTGAAATGATAATCTTGACCTTAAATGATAAAAAAACATCTTGAATAAACATTAATAGTTTTAGGATTTCAACAAGAAAAATAATAATTTCATTTCAGAACTTTTGCAGTACAACAATCTATTTCTAAAAATCAGTCATGATGAGAATCATATCATTTATTCTGGCATAAAAGAAAACTACTTTTAGTTACTAGAGATCTCAATAAAGCTAAGGATCATCAACTATACTCATATTTTAATGATGAAAGTAATCATAACTATAAAGGAAAACCAAATTTCAATTTTATACTAGAAACTACTGACTTCAAGATAAAAATTGTGTTAGCTAGTAGCCTCAAACTATAGACACTAGCTTCTTATAACAAAGTTACAAACTTGATTTCCATCTTTTTCTTTCATTACCACTGAATTAAAAAGGAAAATTAATAAAATAAAGTAAAGAATTAAAGTATACTCACGATTTTGTCTATGAAGAAGAAACCAAAATTATCACTTTAAACACTAATATGTATAACTATTAAATAAAAAGTACCTATTAGTAAACTAAATATATTACTAAAACAACATAATTAAACTTTTAAACAAAATATCACTAATAAAATAAGAGTCTGTGAAGATGAAACCTATCACTGAACATTAAACCAAAACTACCACTTTAAACACTAAAACGTATAACTATCCAATAAAAAACTACCTATTAATAAACTAAACATATCACTTAAACAACAAAATTAAGCTTCTAAACTAAAATACTGCCAATAAAATATGAAAAATTAACAGTTTTGAGGTGCCTATGGAGGAAAAAGTGGTGGGGGATTGAGATAGCCTAACATAACTGTAACCTAAATGTAAACAATCCTCTAGAATAAGCGTCCCCACTCCTCCCCAAAAGGCTGCGGGCATGATGTAAATTATTACCTATTTTTTTTATGCAAGTTCTCGGAATAGACACAAAGTTATAATTAGGATGAAACAAAACTGTCAAAAATTTTTGTGAGGTTAGCCAAGAATCACAGGCGTATCTAAGGGGGGGGGGATTTCCGGCTGAAGCTCCTCCCCTCCCCAAAATGGTGAAATATAACCATGTTTAAAGAAAAAAAATATCTCTAAAAGTATTATTATTCCTCTAATAAGATTTAATAGGACTTAAAGAATCATTTATACACCATTTCATATAGGAAGTTATTTTCTTTCTTTCTTCCGAAGTAATTTTATCCTAATATATACATACAAAAAAAAAAACTTCCGATAATTTTGTTCCATGCTAATAATTGATCAGCCAACTAATTACTCATCCCTAATATTATAACTGATCTAACTTTTGAACCATTGAAGATAAACTAGTAAAATAATATATATTCTTGAAGAAAATTTAATTATTTAAAACTTTTTCCCCATGACAGTCGTACAACAAAGCACTCAAGAGTTAGCTGGTCAAATACAGTAAAAAACATGAGGTAAACTTTTTTCTTCCAAATTAGCGATAGTTGAGGACGGATATCTCGGAAACTAAGTGAAGTAGCGAAAAAAAATGTATATAATCAATCAAGTAATAAATTTTATCAGCTATAATTGTGTATAGAACGTCTTTGTCGATGCAATATATAGTTTTCCTGATATAAGCCGAAACCTGAAAAAACGTCCCCTCCATATCTGACTAGGAGTGGGGTCTTTTAGTATGTTTACCTCCTTACTAGTCCAAACAATGTCCCTAAGTCAACAATTGTGCCCCCCCCCTTCCCCATTTCTTTCTATAGCCCCTTTTTGAGCATTTATTGATTGGACTAAAGAGTTAAGTTTTAACTATGTTAAATTTTTTTTTTATGACTACCATCCCGGACCATTAATATAAGACTAAGTCAGATGTTGAATTTTTAATAATTTTATTAGGAATAAAAGAAATATCCGTACATATATTATTACAGTAAGGCTCGAAATCGGTTTTGTACCAAATATAAGCTCTTGTCATGCTCAAATACCATGAATGGGGTATCGTTGGATTCAGAATTTCACGGGGGGTTAGCGAATCGTATTCTCCACTTTTGTTTTTCTTTCTAAAATAAATAAAGTCGATACAAAGATTTTGCTAGGCTTCAATACTGGAACGGTGGTAGGTATGTAGATCGATACGGGACAAATTGGACCTTGAAGATTTTGATGCGTACAGCAAGATCCTGCGTTTTTAAGCCCCAAAACGTACTATTTTCGAGATAACGTAAGGCATAGGGTTCGCATCCACACAACCTTACATTAATTGTAGTACTGTCATTGAATACATGTCCCATTTTGTCGACTTGAGGCCTCTATGATCGAGAGAGGAGGAGTTCATATTATTTATCGATGGTGTTTTTGATCGGCAAGCCATATCATAATTTTTCACCAAATCTCAAGATTGAGCCACCAATTTCGAAGGCTTCCTTCTCCTTCAGGGGGGAAAAATATTCCAATCACCCCGAAAATTCAGGCAAACAAGTTATGAAAGAAAATAAACTTTATTTGCAAATAACTAAAAGAGTACACACTTTTCCCTTGGTCATTCCCATGATTATATAAAGCATTACTTAATTGTCTACAAAAGGAAAAAAAATCATTGAAATCGGACAATTTTTCGAAAAGACACAGATTATTGAAATTTGTAAATATGTTTTAAATGTGTAAATATATTTATTTTCTTATTAATTTGGCATTTGATAACAATATGCTGTGCGAATTTTTCGCACGGGCCTACTAGTATATATAAATAGCAGCTAATCATTATCAGTCACAAAAGTTTATACCAATCCTATATATTATTCCTAAAAGGTGTTTTTTTGTCGGTACGCCATAACTTCGTCAATGCTTCATCAAATCCAATGATTGACCGCTCATTTTGAAAATATTCTTCTTCACATGCGAAAAATAGTCCTATTTTCCCGAAATTTCTGGGAAAAAGTTATGAAGGAAAGAAACTTTATTTGCGAATAACTCAAAAAGCATGCATTTTTTTCTTGATTCTACCCATGATAATTGGATATATTACTAAATTACCTACAAAACAAAAAAAAAAAAAATCGGACAATTATTAACAAAGATACAGTCCATTAGTTTTGGTATACTTAATAATGTCTTCCTGTTTGATGATATTGCATTTAGGAATAGAATAGTCTACTACATTTTTTTCCCTGGCTGATATATTAACTTTATTATTTCTTAAAGACATTAGGTTGTTCTTACATTTTTTTTTTAATAATTTAGAGTATCCCATGATCAGGTCATTATTTTGTCTTTATTACTTTTATTATCTTTCGTTTAAATATAGGTCCTAGCAAAGCAATTTGTACAAATATTTTGGTCTATTATGTTTACTGAAATATTGTAATCGGCCTAGGAGAAAACATGAATTCCTTCCTTGCACGGGCGGATCTACGGAGGGGGGGCTTTCGTGCTGAAGCCTTCCCCTCCCCCCCCAAAATGGTAAAATATAACGATGTTTTATAGAAAAAAAAATTCAAAAAATACCTCTTAAAGTATTATTGTTCGTGTAATTACATTTAAAAGAACTTATGGAATCACTTAAACACCATTTCATATAGATAGTTAGTTACCTTCTGTTTTTCCAAAGTAATTAATTTTTATGAAAAAAAAAGGTTTCGGGCTAAAGCCCCCCTCCCAAAATTAAATCCTGGATCCGATAGTGCTTAATAAGGAACTACTTATTTCCTTATTGTTTTGCTATTTCTTCACTAAACTAAATTTTCTGCGAATTTTTCGTACGGGCTATCTAGTTAGTTATTGATAATAATGATAGTTGAAATCAATGTGTTTATAAATCTCCATGGAAACGGTCGACTGTCATTGTAAGTTATCAGTTGATATATGTAGTTTTTCCTACCAATTACATGACAATAACTATTATTTTAATATAGTCTAGCCTAAAATACGTATAAAGATTTGAAGAGAGTATTTCATTGTATAGAAGTTTGAAACAGACATTAGATAGTAACATGGACTGCGATTGCCTCTGTATCGGCCCTACTGGTTCTGGTAAGACACTTCTGTTGAGGAATCTGGTCTGCCCTGCTTCTGTAGACTTCACGACCAGCTCTGCCCCGACGATGGGGACTTCGATGAAGACAATTAAATTGAAAGAACAGAAGTCCGTGACCATCTGCGAACTCGGTGGTAATGTCGCGCCTCTGTGGCACAACTACTACAGTGGCATCAATAAGGTACGATGAGGAATTTGTATTTTATAACTAAATAATTTGAATATTTTATAGATGAATTATTTATTAAAATATCAGCTTGCAAGTTTTAAAATTTTAATATTAAATTCCTCATGGGCACCTATTCTTTCCAACAAAATAAAATCTGGTGCGCGCAACACACAACTTTCACTTACCGCTCTACTTTGAATAGAAATTATTTTCTGGCAATGCTGGGATATTATAAAATTTTTTGAAGTGCATTTTAAACGGAGCTAAAGCTTAAAGCTTACAGATAACAAGTCATTAAGACCATTATAATTACAAAATGTCTATTTAATATATCGACAACAGGCAATACAAATCTAGTCACTCCATCTGCTTTTATAAACCACACGACTTTCTTTGCTTTTTTAAACCACAGAATGACTAACTCCAATTTCAACATTTTTGAGTGTTGTCATTTTAGTGATATTTTTAGTTGAAAAAGTTATCTATGCAGACAATGAGTAAGTTGATTCAAGAGGTGGTGATTGCAGTGTTGAAATATAGAGCTGAGAATAAAGGTATAAATTTAGGTACTTATTTCTTATGAAAGATGTTCTTAGGAAAGACACTTTATTAAATATCTGTAGGAAAAAGGTTTTTTTAGTCTCAACAATTAAAAAAGTATATTTTAAATTTATCCAAATTTTCGCCTCTTCAGGGAAAAAAAACTAGAGACCATATCTTTCCTCGTAATTGTCCGATGTTAACGATATTTTTTTGTTTTTTTAGGAAATTCCAAAAAGTGTATACTTTTTGAGTTATTCGGAATTTAATTTTACCATCCCTCGTAATTTTTTTCCAGCTTCTTTTCGTTGAAGGATGTTATATAGATAAATGTAAAGGGTTTCGAGAAAATTATTTTCTTGTCTTTCCCTTCTCTCCCTTAAAAATTATTCCTCCCACACTGGGATCTACGGGGAGGGGGGCTTTCGGCCTGAAGCCCCCCCAAAATGGTAAAATATTACCATATTTTATAGAAAAAAATAATTAAAATTATCTCTTAAAGTAGTCTTGTACGTGTAATTACATTTAATAGGACTTCAAGAACCACTTAAACACCATTTCATATAGGTAGTTAATTTCTTTCTTTTTTTTCTAATTAATTGTTGTTATATGCATATGAAAAAAAATCTTTCGGGCTGAAGCTCCCCCGCCAAAAAAAAAAATTAAATCCTGGATCCGCTAGTGCAATGATACACCGAGTTTAATCAAAATCATTAGAGCCGTTTTTGAGAAAATTATAAAAATGTGTTTCAGCGTTGATATGAAGTGGCACTTCCGTTTAGGCGATTTTAAGGAAAAAGTTGCTGTCACATCCGGCCCATATACAAACCTCAAATACTTAATATCAGTTTCGTACTACTTTTCGTTTATGAGCTAGACTGTTAACACACACACAGAGACCATTTTGCAACACTTGGTTATTTGAACTCAGGGGACCTCAAAACATGTATTTCCGTTGAAAACTTAGACTCGAAAATTTTCATGATCGCAATACTTACACTTAATATTACATATATACGTAAGTGAAAGTAAAAAAAAACATGTGTTATTTACAGATAATGTTTGTGGTGGATGCTAGCAACCTCTGTCAGATATCAGCCGCTGGAGTTCTGCTTTATTCTGTCCTGGCCGAGCCGGCTTTGAGAAGTGCCAAGGTACGCTTAGATACTCAAGTATTTTTTTTTTTCCTCTTTTTCTTTTTTAACTTCTTCCATTGTGCCAGATGGTAAGGTATATATATATATATATACATTACACCATCCTACCAAGCAGTATGAATCTAATATTTATTGTTTGCTATGAGAATTCGTATTTGAGGGTTCTTCGGGGTTCTAAATATGAATCTCAACTCTGCTTCTCCTTAAAAAAATGTTTGTGATATTAGCAAATAAAAATTTATCTATTTCTTTCATAACTTTTTCCATGGAACTTTCGGGAGGATATGACTGCTGTTCTTGACGTCCCCATCAAATACTCTTTTATTTGATACCTCATTCGTCAAAATCGATGGCCATCAAATTTTTAGTAATTTTCTTTTAAAAAAATTTTTTTTTATGATGTATATTGTATATAATAATATTGTATTTTCTGTTTTTGTTTCCATTGGATTTCTAAAATATTAAAGCTCTGAACTACTTTCTGATGAAATTCTGTTTCATGTTTATTATTATGTTGCAGATACTTTTGGTTCTTTCGAAGATGGATGCCTCTTACAGGCAGATGCGAAATGAGGCCTTGCTGATGTTGCAGATCAAAAGGCTTCAAGTTGAAGTTCCTCAAGAGATTACAATTATTCAAGCTAGTTCGTATTCGTCGGAAGGTTTAGACGAAATCAAAAAATGGCTAGAATCATAAGTAATTTGTTACCTGGCTTCATTACATCTTTAACTTCAGACACAGTCCGGTATCTTGGCTTTATCTTAGACCGAAGACTAACGTGGAACCCACATACTAGACTTAAAAGACAAGAACTTAACCGACGATACGGCCATTTATACAGACTACTGACCAGAAAATCTCAACTTTCAATTGAGAACAAATTACTGATCTACAAGACAATCCTGAAACCCATTTGGACCTACGGACTTGAACTTTGGGGGACAGCAAAGTTCTCTAACATCAAACGCATCCAATCCTTTCAATCCAAAGTCCTCCGAACAATAGTCGATGCTCCGTTCTATGTAACCAACAAAACCCTACATCATGACCTTAATATCCCATTTGTCCTTGACTTTATCCCTGAAAAATTTTCAAAATTCCATCAGAACCTTATCAACCATCCAAATCCCCAATCCCTATCTAGTTCCACTCATCCCTACAACCCTCCTCGAAGATTGAAGCGGCAGTGGCCCAGAGATCTTTTATAGTATTTATTTTGGAGTTCTGGCAATAGCCAGATTCTCCACTCAAGACATGAGTGTATGTGGCTAAAGCGCTCTCGCTCAAACTCCACCAGCTTTAGCACCGGTGAGGAGGTTGAGCGCAGGGATTTGGATAGGGATCAGACTAGCGCAGGGATTTGGGTTCCCCGCCTGATGGTATATATTGTATATAGGTATGATTGTATTTATATGTTTTTAATTTACTTATATTTAGGTTTTTTTATTGTATATAGTTTTTATTTATTATTATTTAGTTATTGTTTTACTTTGTTAATTTAATTTTTTTTTTTGTATATACAGTGTGAATGTGCTCATTTATCAATATAATTATTGTTCCTGTGACAGAATATTGTATGTCTAAATAAACAAAAAAAAAAAAAAAAAACTTCTGGTGAAGAACATATCTATAAAATGAATATTAAGTTTTTAAACAAAGGTGTATAAGGATTTTAATATTCAACCAAAATAAAGGTGAAAAAGATAAAAGAGAGTGACATGAAACAATTTGAAAACTATTATTAAATAATTGACAGGCATATGAGACAATAAGCTTATCAATTATATAAGAAAAAAAGGTACTAGTTGAGGATCACTACTGAACTATAGCCAAGATGGCATCTAGTTTCAAGATTATTCAAGCACACTGTATATAGAATACAGAAAATAGTAGATTAATGATAATATATGCTATTATTAGAATTTTCCAGCTGTTTTTTTTTTTTTTTTTGTCTGTAAACTGTTTTAAATATATTATTGATTAGAATATAATATATTATATTTAATGTATTTGTTTTAACGTTTACATCTCTCCCACTAGCAGATCCAGGATTTAGTTTTGGGGAGGGGCTTCAGCCCGAAAGATTTTTTTTTCATATATATAACGATAATTAATTTGAAAAAAAAAGAAAGAAATGAACTACCTATATGAAATGGTGTTTAAATGATTCTTGAAGTCCTATTAAGTGTAATTACACGAACAATAATACTTTAAAAGATAGTTTTTAATACTTTTCTCTATAAAACATGGTTATATTTTACCGTTTTGGAGGGGGCTTCAGCCGGAAAGCCCCCCGTAAATCCGCCTGTGATCTATCCTGTTTTATATATTGTCTAAAATATTTTATAAATATTTCATATATATATTTTATATTATATTGTTGATTAGAATATATTGTATTATTGAAGATAAGATTGGTTGCGGTGAAAGGGTCAAAAAAAAAATAAATAAATAATTTTTATTTATTTTTCTCTTCTATTCCTGATAACCATCCGAGGCGTCTGAAAAGAAGATGGGCCTCGGGACCTTTTATATAGAAATATAATTGGAGTGCTACCAATGGGTAGTTTCTCTTCATGTTATACATGTCATATTACTTGTTTCATATTTACTTGTTGTATTTATCATTTAATACAGTTGTGAATTTCAATAATAAAAATTAAAAATTTTTTTTATTTTTTCCGATGTTTTGGTCCAGAGTTGAGGTCTTCATCAGGGCTGATTAAACGAAAAATTTGCTGATTGATCACATTACTCAAAAAGTACTAATTTTATGACAAATTATATTTAGAATCATTTGAAAGTTAAACACATTTCCTACAAAACAAAAAAAAAAAATATTGAAATCCAACCAGTAGCAGCTAATGTACTTATTTGATCAGTCCTGATGAAGGCCTCAGCTTTGGGCCGAAATGTCAGCAAAAATAAAAATAAATATAACTATTTGTTTAAATATTTTTTTTATTTATCTCAACCAATCTTCTCTTCAATTATTCACTAAAGGTAACCATCAATCCACAATTATATTGTATTATATTTAACTTATTTATTACATCTGTATTTTCAATATTTTTAGCAATATATATAGTATATTTCATTTGATTACGTTTAGACATTTATTCACTTAATATAATTCTGGCATCTTTTGAAACATGTTTTAAAAATTTAATTTAAAAAAATGAAATTTCTGAAGTGTCCACTCATATAATTTTCCTTCTGGTTTCTGACAAACTTAAACCAATATCATTCTAAATTTTGTAAGAAATTTAATAATAATCTTTCAAGTATGTATAAAGAATATAGTCCGTTGTACAGACCCCTTTTTATCGAATTATTAACGTCCATCTTAAACTTCGTAAATAGTTCCATCTCATCGTAACCTACAACTATTTTATTTACGAAAACTCTTGTTATTGGGGCGTTTTCACTCTGGAGGGGGACAAACTTTGTCTATTTAATAAAGTACTAAAAACTCATAAATACTTATTTGCTTTGTACTTGGATCGTAAGATAATTTGATCACAAAATCTATAAAAAAAGTGGCCTTCAAAAATATTGGGCCGTTTGGCGTGACCTACACCCTCAAATTTTCAAAATATCGAGGTTATATAGGACAAACGGCCCAATATTTTTGTAGACCATCTTTTTTATCAATTTTTGATCAAATTATGTTACGATCCAAATAGAAAGGAAATGGTTATTTACGAGTTTCTAGTACCTAATTAAATAGACAAAGTTTGCCTCCCTCCAGATTGAAAACGCCCCAATTCCAAGAGTTTTCACAAATAAAATAGTTGTAGGTTTAGATGAGATGAAACTATTTACAAAGTTTCAGCCGGATGTTAATAATTAGATAAAAATGGGTCTGAACCACAGACTAATATTGAGATGTATAGTTTTAGATTTATTAAAAAAAACCGGAGGTGATTGAGACAAGATCACGCTCAACCACCAGGTTTTCGCCTATAATTATTAAGAGTACCCACTTTATAGTCTTAAATAAACACATGAAATATCATTGCATTATTTTTTATTTGGACCTAAACTTACTTTGTAAATTAAAAAAAAAAAAAAAAACGTAGGTTTAAATGATGAATAATTTTCAAGAAAATTTTAATAATTCACTAAAGTATTACAGAACACAAATAAATACTAACAATAAATAAATAACTGATTTAATATAAAGTACTAAAAAAATATATTCTTTTTGATAAAATAAATAAATTAAACAAACAAAATAAATATTATCATTAACAAAATTAGTTCGATAAAATTTTATTCAACAACCATAACTAACAATATATTTTTCATAATATAAAATAATCTATAAGTTTATCCAAACAATAATTTTATTATTATATTTACAAATGATATTATGATGTGAAAATATCGATACAAAATATAAAATTTTAAAGGAAACATTTAAATGTAAATATGATAAATATACACGATAGTTACAGACAAAAATTATTTAATTTACACAATGCTTATAGATATATATATACATTTTAAAAATCAACTTCGTACAGAAGGTACCTAGATAGCGAAGAAGGCAGGTCAATATTGGAGAGGCATTTTCGAAAAGGTTGAGAAGAAGCTTGCGCCTGTTCGCGGATGCATTTTCTGATGGCGAACCTGCACATTCTCTTCAACGAGACCACTCGAATGTTGGACATGACCAGCTTATAAATAGGCAAAATGGCATTGTATCTCGTACGATCGTCTGACTTAATAGGCTCAGTAAGAGAGTTCCTGATCATTCTGTAAGCAAAGTTGTCTGTTAAAATTATAATAAATAAAATATTTTTTTTTTTAAATTGAAAAATGAAGGGCTCAAAATCAGATAATAAGAGAAATCAACAATTTATATTGAACATAACTCAAAATGAGGAGATAGTCCTCATTTTGGTACTGCCGCATTGTAGTATCCATAATAACGAGAGAGCTGATACTGTTGCCAATTTAGCTTGACAACAAGATGATCATTAGGCCACAGTAGTAAGCCTGAATATCTCAATTTGCTTCATAATATAAGAAAATATGGAACTGAAAATGGATAATGAGTTCGACAAAACTACAAGAAAAAAAGCAAACCAGAAATCAAGACAGAAACAGAACTATCCCATGCAGTCTTCGGTACCCTCTACAAGGATTGGAAGCGCAAAGATGTAACCGTTGCCAAAATAACAAAAGAGTAAAGTGCGTCCTCCTAGAATCTCTCTCAGCAATCCTTAAGGTTGAATACATCCATGGAAAAAGTACTCCAGGACAACAAGGAAGAAGTTAAAAAATATTCCAATATTTAAAAGAAGCAAATTTTTAAAGCAGAATATAAGAATTTATGATGTAATACATCAATGACTCTCAAGAGTAGAGGCGAACTAATTAAAAATTAAAATTGAACCTACTTTGCCTTAGCACACTAAGGAATTAGTTCAGAACCAATCTCTTAGGAGAATAGCGTTATTATAATTTTACCTGTAATGGAAGCTACATAGAACATAATTCAGTCAAAAACCTGATTTCAAAAAATTGTAACCTGGACAGTTATTCGGTGGAGCCCTTTCATCGAACTCTTAATTTCTGCTTTTAATACCAAAGATTTACAATATTAAAATTAAATGATAGGTCAATTATTAAAATATATATTATTATAAAATAATAGAATTAATGATACTTACGATACTGTTGACATGAAGTTGGTCGTGCATTTTTTTAAAAGAAACCTGGTAATAACGTTTTCCTGCTCAGTCCATAGATGACGAGGTTCCGCTATATCTCTTAAAAACATCTCCATAACATCATCTGGTTCGGTACATTCGGAATACCTCAGGAGAAGATGGAGCCCATCGGTGAAGCCGTAGCGAGCAGCTTTTTGAAACAGATAGAGCTGGCTCGAGGATGTAGATTTAGTGACTTTATCAGGCGAAGCACCTTTCGCGAGGATCATAGAGAGAAACTTTTCACAATAGCAATCTTCGTGGAAAGGACGGTGCATTTGAACGGCAGCTTCGATCGGGCTTACGCTCACTATTCTATGAGCATAAAGCATAAGGACCATTTCGACAATCGAATTGTCATCTTGAGAAGTTTCATCTTCTTGTTCGTAAACAGGATCGATCAAAAAGTCATATGACAATAGAAATTCTAAAAATTTCACCTTTTCTTCATTGTCGATTGCATTGGCATGCAGGAGGAGGAAACTAATAGGTGATACTAAACGATCGCCCATCTTAGCAGGGCATTTTAAGACAGCCTCACTAAGACCAGAATCGAACAGAAGTTCCAAACCTTCGAAAACATTTTTATCAATAATCAAGCAAGGAAGAGAACGATAATGAGTCATATTGTCACCGAATGTAGAATATTTTTCTATAGCATCTTTTGGTGTATGTTTGAGGAGAAGCTCGATTAAATTGTAACGTTCGCAATGCGCTGCTATGTGGAGTGCGAGAAGACCACGATTGTCGACTAAAGTAGTATCGATTCCATACTCAATTAGCTTCTCGGCAATGAGATAATGTTTGTATTGGCAGGCTTCCATGAGTAGTGTCCATCCTTCGGGTGTCTGCTGATTTATGACGGATTTTTCACAGCCGAGATGTTCTATTAAAATGTTAAAAATTTCGAGGTTTCCTATCATACAGGCATATTGCAAAGGTGTCCTGCTGAAGAAATCCTTCGTTTTCAAATCGGCACCAGCCTGAATGAGTGTGTGAATAGCGGATGTATTTACATTTTCCAGGGCGATGTATATCGGCGAACGTTCTTCTTCATCTTTAGCATTTATATCAGCATTATTATCCAAAAGCAACTGTATCACTGCTGCGTTCTTTTGAGAACATGCGATGTGAAGAGGAGTGAGGCATTCATTATTCTGAGCGTTGATGTTACAACCGGCTTCTATCAAAACTCTGGCGATCATTTCACAGCCGTGCTTGCAAGCAATGTAGATAGGAGTTTCCCCTTCGACAGTTTTGTGATCGATATATGCTCCAGCTGATATAAGGAGTTGAGCAATATCCACGTAGTTATTACTCACTGCAGCTTCATGCAGGGGAGTCCAGCCTCTATTGTCGGGCATGTCAAGTGAACAACCCTTCCTCACCAATTTCTTCACCATGTCGAAACTTCCGGATCGAATAGCCCTGCTTATCTTAGAGGCTGAATAAGGATTTTTCCAATCAAAGTCCATTGACGAAATGCTGTAAAAAAAAAAAAAATTATAATGTTTCAAAAGTAGTAAATAATCTGGGATGCACATCACACAAAACTTTCAGCAGAAATTATTTCAGCCAAAACTGTTGCAAAAAGTCTTGGAAGTACATTTTTAATATAGCTAAACCTTACAGAACACATATTTGAATTTTGGTCATATTTATCAATGCAAGAACTCATTTTGACGGATCAAAATAACACAAACCGTATTTATTATATCGGCAGTAGATAATGGAAACCTCGTGACTCCATCAGTCTATTTAAAACACACAACTCACTGCCCTGAGTTACCATACAAAGAAATATTTGAAAGTGCTCATAAATATCTACTCTATAAATAAGGAATCGAGAGAAAAAAATCTGTATCACTTTATGTATGATTTTAAACTCTTATTTTTCCCTAGTAAAATTTACCAAAATTGAGTTATTAGGTTTTCATTTTCGAGAAAATTGTAAAAATGTGTAAAATCAATGATATAAAGTGGCACTTTCGGTTAGCCGATTCTAGAGAGTTACTGTAACATTGCAGCCAACACCTGCTTTAAATGCATAATTTCAGTTTAGTACAACGTTTCATTTTTGAGCTAGATTATTCTCACACACACACACAGACCATTGCGTGGAAATTAGTTATTTGGACTCAGGGGAACTTAAAATGTGTATTTCTATTGAAAACTCAGATTCAAAATTTTAACGAATCGCAATACTTTCCCTTACTATAAATTAGGTAAATAGGTAAGTGGAAGTAAAAATATTTTTTTTTTAAATTTATTTATTTAATGAAATTTACAACTGTATAAATAATACAACTAGTAAAAATGCACACATCAGAAATCATGACATGAACAGACTTGAAGAGATACTGCCCAGTGGTAGCACTCCATATTTAATTCTACGTGAGAAGATCACGAGGCCATCTTCTTTTCAGACGCCTGGGGGAATTATCAGGAATCGAGAAAGAAGCAAGGCTGGAAACAAATGGATTCGGATGGGACTAGAGTTTATCATGAAAGGATAAATATCTGGCTTTATGAATGGTTTTATTTGTAACAAAATATGGAGCATTAAGGATTTTACGAAGGATTTTGGATTGTAAGGATTGGATAAGATAGGAAATCGATGGTTTGGAAGAGTCCTAAGAAGTAAAAATATGATTAAATAAAATAAGGATATTAATTTTTTTCATATGCAAAAACATTTAATATATAAACTGTAAATATACTTCTTATTTATGTTGTCCTAATTTATTCTGTTCTCAAGTACAAGGACTTTTGATCACGATAGTTTTTATTTGTTGTATAAAAACTTTCTTATATAAACGTTGTATAAACTTTCTTATTAGGGTTACCGTTTAAAATAATGATGAAATTAACAAAAAATTAAATCTATAATTCAAATGGAGCACTTTTATATATTAGTAAGGGCACATGATCAGATATAGCTTTTAGTGTAAATTATTTAATTAAGTTTCAGTTTTGTTATGATGAAACTCATTTTAAATATGTTCAAAGAAATATTTATATTTAACAAAAGACGTTAAATTAACTAACTGTAATAGTTGTTACTCTGACATTATGGATTGTTATTTAGATGCTGATTGGATAAGTGACAACTTAAAAAGTTTATTGCAGGTTTTGTTCATAAATATAATATTTTGAAAATGTAGAATGCAGAATAGTGTGACTAAATCTTCAACATTTGCTGAATATGTTGCTTTACAAAGAACTGTTACAGAAATTAAATTAATTTTTAGTCTATGATCAGAGGTTTCCAAACTACACTCCATGAAAGTTTCTTAGATTGTCTCTTAGAAACCTTATTTTACAACTGAAGTTTCTTTTACAGAACGAGACTGTTTTTTTTCATAAGCTATGGCCCACAGGCCAAAAATTTTGGGGACACCTGTTCTAGATGATGTTTTAAAAATTCAGATTAATAATCCTATTACGATATTTGAAGATAATTCTGAAACTGTTTGTTTAATTACAAAGTATAGAAATTTTACTAAAACATCTAAACATATTGAAATATATTATCATTTTGTGCATGAGAATGTTGTGAATGAACTTATTGATAATGTTAAGGTAAATAATATGGCTGATATATTAACTTAGTCTTTGGGAAAGTTGTGTTTGTGAAGTTCAGAGATGATAAATTTAAAGTAGTAATGTTAAATTAAAATATTTTGTTTGAATAAGCTTAAATTTTTTTATTAATTTCTTTATTTTGCCTCTACTCCAAAGGTTCATTTGCATATTATCTCAATTCTATACTATTTCATCATTCTGGAGGATTTCTTCCATTTCAGTTCACCTTTGTAGGTTTTTCCTTAGAGCTGTGGGCACTTCTTAAATAGCTGGTTGGGTCGAAACCTCCCTTGTTTTCTAATCTTATATCACATAACCTCCCTTCTTATCTCCTCGAACCTAAGTTATTCCATTGTTTATTTTTTGTTCCTCGTGTAAGCTGTGAGTTAGTGTTATTTTCATCAAATTATGGATGTTGTTACATTGTTCGAATTGCCGTCTTCAGAAGGAGAGGCTATCAAATATTTTCAAGATGGCGGGATAATTGCAAAGGTGAAATATTGTGATGGAGATCATGAAATGAAGTTCGACGGGAAGACGAGATGCTTTCGTACTTGTAACAAAACCGTTTCTATAAGGAAAAGAACGTGGTTAAAGGGGTCGAGAATTTCTATTTTAACGGCTTTATAATTCATTTATGAGTGGTCCCATGTCGGGTCCATACTCAATAGAATGATTTTGGGACTCAGCTAAGTGAAGAAATAAAACACTTAGAGGAACTGCCAGACAACACCTCGATTCATATTTATGTGAATTTTCGTGGCGGCGGGCTTCCTCGCTATGTTAAATGCATAAAACTATTTTCCCTACCAAAATAAATTGTTTCTTACATTATTTCTTTCATATGTACATATGTTGTTTAAGTGGTTTTTTATTATTACATTGATTTTTGTCTATTTTTATTATTTCATTTATTTTTATATATATGTTGTAATGTTTTTACATTATATATGTATAATGTTTTTGTCTATTTAATATATATCTTGTAAAATAAAAGTATTTTTTTATTATTACATTTTTGTTAACAATTTCAATAATATGAATATAATACAATAAATATGAATACGAAGATATAATAATATGAATATCAATAATATGAATATAATACAATAAATATGAACACGAAGATATTATCAGTGGCTTATCAGAATTATCAGTGTTAAGGTTATAAACACTGGCAGATAGCAGTAATACCAGTCCGGCTATTTAAGAAGTACCGAGCAGTGTAGCTACTGTGTGCAAGTTGGGACTTCTAATCCTCGCAGGAGATATCCATGGGAAAATTCAAATTGTCCGATTCGTAGGCGACAGAGTATCAATTCTCCTCGTCTTGATATCTTCCATTTTATAAAATTTTTCTTAATTTATTTTAGTTTTGCCGAACTCATTTTTAAAGTATGAGGCAAGTTGGTGTGTCAAGTCTTCTCTGGCTATGATCTGAATTATTATGGCTTATGGAACATCGAGCCGAGCAGAATTGGCAATAGCATCGGCTCTCTCATTACAACAGATTCCACTATGCGAGGGCACCCATATCAGGACTATATTTTTATTTTCTTATCTTAGTTTACTGTATGAATGATATATTTCTTATCACAGGTTCTTAATTCTACTATTGCTTTTATAACAGACATTGAATCATCTGTTGATAAAATTTATAATATACCTTGTTTATTGCATTAAAATAGTAATATAAGAAGGCATGTTATGAATATTAAATTTTTATTTCTTTTGTAATGTTTATATATTGGTATGGGTTCATGTTAATAAACTGACTGCAAGTTGTAGTGAGTTGTTTATTTGTAAAACCTAATTGTAAAGCCCCATCGGGTAACACCTAGCTAGAAGACAGGTGATAGATGATTCACCAAATATAAATGATCCAAGCGAACGACCATAGCTACCTAGTCGTGTCACTAATTAAAATGTTATATTTTAAAACTTATTAACAATAAGTAAGAGTATCAATTTATTAACCTTTTCCCTTTATACAGTAAAACCCTAAGAGGAGGTAGTCTATGGGAATTAACATTCTAATATGTAAACTTCAAGGTGTACAGTCCAATAGTTTACATTGTATTATAAGTCGCTGAGTGATTACAAAGCAGACTCAAGGAAAAATGCAAATAAAAAGAACAAACTTATAAAATTAAGAGATAGAAAGAACAATAGTCTGTAATCAATCTCAATGCATAAAAATATTTTCTTATTAGTTAATTTCCAGAATTTTATAAGTCATTCTTTTAAAAAATTATAAAAATACACAGAATCATCAATACTTCAAAAAATGAATACTATTAAAACAATTTATTTAATTGATAAAAATTATGTCAACCTCATCAATTTGATTATAGAAAAAAATAAGGCGATCTTATTAAGTAAAAAAAAATTAAGAAGTCTAAAATCTGTACTAGTTCAAGTAATTAAAGAATAATGATAAAGGAACTGCTAATAAAAATAAATTGCTAAGTTTATTTTGTGATACAAATTGAGTATATTTGAAATAAATAACAATACAAAGAAAAGTATTAATAAATTTACCTTTCTTCCTCTTGTGACATCTTTTATGCAGAGAAATGAAAAAGTTAATAGTTTAAGAAATATTTGATCAAAGTTTCTAAATAGATCACTTATCAATGAAAATAAGAATGAGTTCTGAAAGTATTTATTAATTAAGACTTAAAAAACTTTTAATAATTAATGCATTGATTTAAAAACTGTTTAAATAAACGAACGATAAACGAACTGACATCCTTTCAATTATAAAATTTCATTGAAAGAAGTGTAGCCATCAAACTTTTTGTAAACAAAAACTGATTGAAGGAGTGTACAAACAGAACACCTGACAAGGAGGTATCAGTAGGTTATAATACCTCAGGTTCCCTGTTTTACTTAAGCAAGGAACTTATATAATTATTTAGTTTAATTTAATACAGATGCCATATATTCGTGATTTAGATAAATATATTCGTATTTTTTAGTAAAGAAAAATATCTATTCATAAAATATGGCAGCTGGAACCTATTATTTTGTTATTGTAGGCCACAAAGATAACCCAATATATGAATATGAGCTCTTACCTATTAATAAGGATATTAAGGTATGTATTAATAATCATATCATTATTGCCACTTTTTTTTAAAGTTAATAGTTTTCTATTTTTCAAATGCAGAAAGAAGAACACAGACACCTTAATCAATTTATTGCCCATGCTGCTTTGGATTTGGTCGATGAACACATTTGGAAAACTAATAATCTATATTTGAAAACTGTTGACAAGTTCAATCAATGGTTCGTATCCGCTTTTGTAACGGCTAGTAGGATGAGGTTTATCATGGTTCATGATGCCAAAAATGAAGACGGTATCAAGAATTTCTTCATGGAAGTGTATGAAATGTTTATTAAGGTGAGTAATTACTGATTAGATACTCATTCTAAGTATTTGTTTGCTCTTGTTCTCTCATACAATTATAGATTATCCATTTTAAGATCGACCGTTCAAATCCAAGGCCTAAAAATTGTAATGCTTGAGTAAGCAACTGGTTAATCATTAAATGGTTTCATACTTTCAAGACTTTAGGATATTTAGTTTTATAAAAGTGTTTAAAACTAACTATGTGATACAAAATGTCATCTAGAGACTCATTACTTTTAGTTGTAGCTTAAAAAAAAGCTAACGAGAAGGAACTTGGAAAAGGAAAAATCTGGTGAGGTGCGCACGTCACACACTTTTCACATATCATTTTTTTATAGCAAAAATATTTTTTTTCAGGCAAAAGGAAGTGAAAGTAAAAATTACAGATGGTAAATAATTTTTTTTTTTAATTTATTAAGATTGGATTTGAAATTGTTAAATTAGGTTTTATTATTATTTGCAAAAGTTTTTATTGTTGTTGTTAATTTTATTATTTTACGTAACCTGATGAAGGTCTGATAAAAGACCGAAACCAGTTGCGCAAAAGTCTTTTTTATTAAATTAAATTTCAATCCTGTATCATCAGGCCAAATTAAAGAATTGAATAATTTTTTCTTTTGGTATTACAGATCTTCCAGATCTTTTTCCGCCTAAATAAACCTTCTCCATCTCTGCCTATCATGGTCTATTTTTTTCCAGTTATCTGCAAGCACCTCTATTGCATTTTTGTCAATTCAATCTATCCACCTGCTTTTTGGCCTTCCATATGGTATCTTGCCTAATATAGAGGCATTCATTGTTGTGTAGAGGCTTCCTGGTGGATTGTTTCGAGCTACATGCCTCACCCATCTCGACCTCTTTGCCTTTATATCTTGATTTAAAAGTTGATATAAGCAGTTCTTAGTTGGTTCTTCTTCTCCATGCGTTAGTACTCTGATCCCACATTGCTCCGGTTATCATGCAGAGGATTTTACTCTCAAATCTTTCTTACATTTTAAAATATATTATTTGAAATATACTCATGTTTGAATTGAAATAAAAAGTATATTATGAATTAGAATCTGAGAAGTTCTGATAAAATTATGAAACTACGAAAACTTATTTTTTGTTGGATCTGGTCAATAAAAAGTTGATTTTTTACATTAAAACTTTTATTATAAATTATAGATTTGAAGTTTTATTTAATTTTTTAATCATCTTAAGTTTTAAAAATACACTTAAGTATATTAATTAACAATGATATAAGACTTCATTGGAGAAAATCTTAGTTTCTGAATCGAACAATTAGGACTCATTTACATTTAAAAAATGGAAATCTGTATTTTTAAAGATGAAGAATTAAAAAGTATAATTGATTTAAATTGAATTTTTCTAACAAATATTGGTATTTCAAAATTCTAAAAATGACAGATGTCCCCCTTTGATATGTGGCCATTCAATTTTTTTATGTTAATTCATCATTTTATTAATTTAATTACAAATTTAAGTTCATATTTCTCTTAAAAATGTTGTTGAATTTTTTTTTTGTTATTGAATTTTTTTTTTTGTAATCGCCTTTACCCTAGAGGGTCATTGGCGGCTAGTTTTCTATATTCTATTGTAATATTTGGTCTCTATTAAGTATCGCAATAGGGTGGTGAATAGAAGAGGAAGCAAGGGTGGAAACAAGAGGGTTCGGATGGTTCAGAAGTTTATTATGGAAGGATAGGTATCTAGATTGAGCTAAATCGGAAACATATGATACATTAAGGTCGTTATGGATGATTTTATTTGTGACAAAGTAGCGATTGTTGAGGATTTTGGATTGTAAGGATTGGATACGAGAGGAATTTGATGGTTTAGTAGAGCCCCAAAAGCTCGATCCCATAAGTCCTAATATGCCTTATTATAGTAATATATATGAATCTTTTGTAAATAGTTGGAAGTTTAGAGCGTTTGTCTAGTAAGTATTGCAGTAGTCGAAAACGTCGGGCGATTTCTAGTCGTTTCAGTCTGGTATGAGGGCTCTCTTAAAAAGATATATATTTTTCTTTGATATTTAGGATTCTAAAAAAAAATATTTGTACTTTGCTTTACTTTGGCTGCGTTTTCTGTCTTGAGTGTTATAAATAAGCTAAAATGGTAATGAAATGTGCAACTCTTCAAATACTTCCATGAATTAACTTATGTTTACAATAAATACCTAGTATAGTGGAATCTGACAGTACTTTTTATTCTGTAAATATGTGAAAACTTAACTACAGTTACATAGTACAAAAAACTTTCTGTGCATTTTCTGGAGTGTGGAAATTTAAATTTTTTATTACAATTTTTTTTCCATTTTTTTCAGTACCTGATGAATCCGTTCTACCAAATGAACTCACAAATTAGATGCCCTTCTTTTGATAGGAAAGTGCAGTTTTATGGGAAAAAATATTTGCAATAATCCATTTGCTGTTATTGTATTCTTAAATTTATAAAATATTTTAGTTATGTGTATAAAGTGCATGTAAATATATATTATTTTATTTTATCTGTGATATATTATATGACTTGTTATTCTTATTCGTTTATTTTATATTTTTTTTATTATTATTATTAATTTGCGAAGCCATATCATTTTTTGAATGATTATAATTTACACAGTATTTGAATTTTTTTTATAGGAAATATTTGTGTAATTTTTAAAGGTATTTTTTTCCCTTTTTGATAATCAAAACGTATTCGTAAAGTAATATTACTTCGTAAGTAATACGAAATAATATTACTTTATTACAACGAATATTAATATTCGTTGGCAATATTTCTTTAGAGATAGTATTATGATAAAAATAAAATTATAAGGTTTATATACAAAAATAAACTATTTTTCTCTCATCAGGTTTATTTACAATAAATATTTTACCCTTATGTCCCTTTTTTCAATAAAAAATAATTATCACAGTAATCTCAAAAATTTAGACTTTCTTGAATTTGATTGAAAGTATTTGTTTTTTCCAGATATTGTTTTATTATATGGTCCATTCTCGCGTAAATCTTCAATCTGAATACTTTTTTTTTAACTATAAATCATAATCCGTGGTACGGATCAGTTTAACATCGGCAAATGTTAAAATAAATATTATTATTTATTTTTGCCATTTTTATTTTTGACTGGTCACCCCAACTATCCTTCTCTTCATCATTCTTCAAGTACTATTAAATGTAATTACATGAACAATAATACTTTAAAAGATAATTTTTTAATATTTTATTCATCAGACATGTTTATATATTACCATTTTGGGGGAGGGGGAGCAGCTTCAGCCCAAAAGCTCCCCCATAGATATGCCTGTGACCATATTTAAACAGATTTTTGAACGGTTCAGTGCCTTAAAATCATTAAACAGAAAATATATATTAGTGGCTTCATATCAAAAACTGAAATAGTTGAGAAAAAGCCAATTTTTGAAACATAGCTTCAACTTAAATAAAACCATCAGAAATAGTTTGAGTTGAATCTAATAGGGTGTTAAAAAAAAAAAAAAAAAACAATGACTGCTTTATCAAATTTAAGATTTCAAAGGACTGTAAATATTTAATATTTACCAATACTTAATAATCTCTTTAGAGGATTCTCTAAGCTAGTTTAATCCCATTCAACTTCTTCAAAAAAAGCTTCAGTTTAGTTATTTGTTTCAAAGAAGAAACATGACAGTGTCGTATGAAATGCTTGCAATTTTAATGCATTACTGGAAAAAAAAAATCACAGCTGTTGAAGGAAGTAGTGAAATTATTAAATATGAAGGGGAAGGTGTCCTTGGCCATCAAACTGTGCAGCATTGGTTTGAAAAATTTAGCAGTGAAGGTACGACGTTGGAAAGGAAGAAGAGCTCCGGACGACCATAAATGGATATTGATGAGATTCTGCGGAAAGCTGTTGAATCAAATCCGTCCACAAGTACTCGCGAATTTGCCAGAGAGTATGTTGTCGAAAGATTCTGTTATGAGACTCCTGCCTCATCCACCATACAGTGCAGAACTCGCACCATCGGATTACTATTTATTTAGGTCCATGGTCCATATTTTTCAGGAGAAAAATTTGATAACTTTGCTGAAGTTGAAATAGCGGTCCAAGAATTCTTTGTCAGCCATCCCAAAGAATGGTATCGGCGTGGGAAAGAGCAATTGGCTAATGACGGTAGATAACAATGGACTTGTTTTTTTGTTTTTTTGGTCTTCCCTACCTCGCCTTTTAGGCTATACAGGATTTTCCCGGGCCGGAAGGTTCTGGGACGCGAACTCGTACTTTTTAAATCATCTCAAATCTATAATCCGGTTGCCAGGAAACTCGCGGTGCTGTGAACATGCGTTAGCCCATTCGTCCACCCCGCCCCCCCAAAGATAACAATGGACTATACTTCAAGTATTAATTGTATTTTATATCAAAGAAATAATAATATAAATATTTTTTTGAAAAACGGTCATATTTTTTATAAGCCTTATTATAAAACAAAAATTGACTTTTTCTTCATTCTCTGAAAATGACAGATGTACGTCTTTGATATGTTTATTACCTTAGCAATATTATTATGTGTAGTAATTTTATTTAATTTTCATTGTGGAGAAAGTATAGAAAATGAATCAATTTTGCAAACCTTTATTATTACATACAAAGCATTTCCAATTTTTGTATTTTATGTCAATACTGCATATCTCATTATCACACATATGATTATGTATCAGAAATTTAAACAAATATATTTCTACCAATGGATTCAGGTATTAAAAATATTTCCAGCAAAAATTAATGTAATTTTATTGTATATAATATAAGCTAATTACATAGGTACATAGATAAATACAATGTTACACTTTTTTTGTCTTTCTTCATTTTTAAAACTTGGAGAAAATTTAAGAGTAAAATAAATTTAAATTCTTCAACGAGAACAGGTTGGTTTGGCGGAAGTTTGAATTTGAAGATTTATCAGTACTTTCTGTCGTACGGAGCTTGGCTATCCCTGAAGACTCCCTAAAACAAATATATCATAAAATGTCTCTTATTTTATTATTTACTTAAAAAATATTTTACAAAAGTTTCTATTTACAAATTTAAATATTGAATGAAATTATAATAATTGAAAAAAGAAAAAAATCAGGAGATATAATATATTTTAGTAGAAGTTAATTGTAGGGTGCTGTCAAAGTTGGAAGTAAACACAAAAAAGCTTTATTTTCTTTGGCACTGATATTTCAGTCTCAGTTTTAGACCCTCCTCAGGACTAGATAAAGCCAAGTTAACAACTTAAAAAAAAAATTAATAAAATGAAATAAAATAAAATTTAGCAAGAAAACAAAAGAAAATTAAATAGTATGTGAATGTTAATGATAAATCAGATCTATTTGTGGAAATAACAGGAAAAAATATTGAAGCGTCAATGAAAAATTTTGTTATGAAAGATAAATTTAAATGTATAAATTTTGTATTTAACGGTACATATAACACCTGGTACTTGACTAGATGAGACAGTCGACCAACATATAATGACCCTTTACTAATGATTTTATACTAATATAAACGGACATCACAATAAATTTAATATGTTTAAGGGGCGATTTAACACGTCTATAAAGAGTAAATAAATAAAAACTCCTAACAGGTTTTTATTTTGTAACTTCAGTTCTAAATTATTTAGGAAAGTACAGTTTGTGTCATTTCGTGTAGTTTATAAGGTTCTGTATACCAGCAAAACTTCGTGAGAATAGGTGGAAGTATATTGAAGTTATCATGCATTTTGTAATTTTCTAAAAAAATTCAAAGGAAAGCTCATCATGACATCATGACCTCAACATCCCATTTATCCTATACCTTATCCCAGAAAAATTCTCCATATTTCACCAGAACGTTAAATATTATCCAAATCCTCTTGCACAATCCCTATCAAGCACCAGTCATCCCTATAATCCTCCAAAAAGGTTGAAACGGCAGTGGCCTCGCGACTTTTTGTAGATTGTATATCTTGGAGTTCTGGCAATGACCAGATTCTCCACTCACTTGAGTATATGTGGCTAAAGTGCTCTTGTTCAATCTCCGCTGGCATTAGTACCAGTGATACGGTTAGAGAGTAGCACAGGGCTCTCCTGGAGTCCAGTTTTTTCCTCCATAGTTAGAGGGACAAGCCTGCCTCGGAGATCCCTTGCCTTATTGTGAATAGTGTATATAGATATGCATGTGTTTTTTACTTTGTTTTAGTTTTCTTATTTTTAAGTTATTTTATTTTATTTATTGTATATATTTTTTTATTATTATATATTTTGCTATTATTTATTTTATACTTTTTTGTAGATATAGGGCGAATGTTATCCTACCTCACTATAACTAATGTTCAAATGACAGATTGTTGTAATACTAAATAAAAAAAAATCGACCATAACAGAAAAAATATTTGGTTGAAAAACATTCATATTTTTTATACGCCCTATTATAAAACAAAAATAGACTTTTTCTTCATTCTCTGAAAACGACAGATGTGCGTCTTTGATATAAAGTCATTTATATGTTTATGCAATTTACGGTGGATTAAATCCATAAATAATTAAAAGGTTACAGAATGTCCTACGAAAACAAAAATATATCGAAATCGGACCATTATGAGCAACGATATAGACTACAGTAAACTGTAAAAAAGTTTTGGTTTATTATTATAAGTTAACTATTTTAATTCGTCCAAGCAAAAAAGTTGTTTTCTGGCCAATATTTTATGCAAATTATTCTCACGGGCCTGCTAGTAAAGTATTATTCAATAATGTTTAAAATATGTAACATGAAATAAAGCTATACTTATGCACTAAGACTTTTGTAATAACCTGATATTTGTAAAATATATACAATACCAATTCCATTATTCGATTGCGTTACAACAATTTCCATTGTATTGACATTTCCTAACATTATATCACTAAGAACATTTTCAAATTTTCCTTTTAATTTTATTATATAATTTATAAAACAAATTTGTTATTTGTTATACAGGTTTCTAGATTATTATGTACCAATCAATTTTTTTTGTGCAGAATTAAAAAAAATATTTCTGATAATATTAAATGAGTTATAAGTATCATAAACATTTTATTTTATACATTTGGTTTTAGTTTGTTTACAGGGATCAGATTTGTACCATTTTGCGATGCCCAAAGATTTTCAAACTCCTGATAATTTTTGTGTGGATCAGTCACTGAAATTATCACAATTTGTTTCGTTACCGCAAACATTTCTAAGGGTTGATCCTAGATAATAATTGTTTGATATCTACAAAAAATAATATTTAACAGTATTTTTGAGATGTGGTAAAAAATATACATTTACCCCTCTCCACCCCATAATGTTTCTTTGATTGGTATACCTTAATTCACTATTTTACTAATTCTAGATATAGATAATTTGGATCTATCCTTGTGAGTATACAACGTTTTGATTTCACAGAGGGAAATATCACAGTAATCTCATTAAAGAAATAATTTCACAATAAATATATAAATAAATAAAAACAATTCTATACATTTTAATGTTTATGTTAAATAATTTATAGAACATTGTTTTATTATTTTT